GACCAAATGTAGTATTGAATGAAGATTGAGGGGCTTGACTTGCAATGTTCTATAGTTGCCCGTTAAAATAAGAGATAAATGTCAAAATTTCTCATTTTTGGGGTCAAAAACTCAAAGAGTAACTTTATTAAAAGAAAAGTCAAAAAAATAAAAATGAAATAGAAAACGGTCAGGTGGTGAGTTGTTCACATATAAATTACACAAACCCATTTGTTACACAATTACACACACAAGCACATAAAGCACACAGTGAGAGAAACCGAGAGCTGGGGAGGAAAAATATAGGGGGAAAAAGGAAGAAAAAAATAGGAAAATTTGCCTACATTGTTAGAAAATAAACTCTTCTACCAGAGTTAAGGGAAAAACGCAGCACATAATAGCGCCGCTTGCTCCTTGCAGTTCCATCTACGAAGTGTATTTGTCTAGATGACTGAAGGGAACTCCTTTCCCTTCGTATGCGGCTAGCTGTGGTATTTTTAATCTCTCGGGTAAAGGCTCGACTAAGATGTCTTCCGTGAAGGAGGAATGGCATTTGGCAAGATACTCCTCCGTTATTCCTTTATTTCTAGCTCTAGATCAGTGATACGTCTTTTTAGAGTGCTTAGTTCAGGCTCCGTTTTTTCAAGTGGACTTTTGAGGTTGGGTTTGGCAGGCGCCTTTTGGGGAATTGGGGAGTGCTGGGAGCCTAGCCTGTCAAATATGCTGTCGGCTCTCCTGGTGATCGGTTCTGTCATCGGAGGAGGCTTCTAACCATATCAGTTCGGCTTTCTGTGGATTCCTCCTTCGAAAAGTGGAGGGATCTTTTCATGGGGAGTTGCTTGGCCTTCCCCTAGCTAAAGATCCCACCTCAATGTTAGGTAGAGAAACGTAGGTCTGATTTTGTTCCAGTTTATCGACTGCATTTGTCAACCTTTCGACGGCTTCTCTCGTGGTAGATATTTGGAAGGTTACCTATTTCAATTTGGTCTTGTTTTCTTCAAGAATTGTGTGGGGTACCAATTTCATTAGGATAAGTGTAAGACTGGTTCCACAAGCTAGAGCCACTTCTCATAGCTTCTTTTTGGTTGTTGTTTATTGGAAAAGAGCAAGGCCGGTTTTGCACAATAAGAGCCTTCCTTCTAGCGCCAAACTATTGACGTTAAAAATCGTTGAAGACTTTTGTTTTTTAGCCAACTTAAAGAAG